ATTTCCTTGCCAAGGGCACGTGTCACTCCATTTTTATGTGATATTTTACAACCTTGCCTAGTTAGAGACTTTATGCAGTGAATGAGGTGTAGATGAGAGTCTCTGCACAACAGTTCTTTGTGGTACGGTCCTAAGCAGGACTGATCCACTGTTCTAGAAAAGTTGGTTTTAGAAATTCTCGAGAACCCTAAGATAGCAGGCATAAAGAGCACTTCAGGGTACAAACATGATTCAAGGACCAGGAATAAACCTTATAATTAAATGGAAGTACTATGAAAAGGTCCCTCTCTCACTGTCCTCTGACAAAAGAGTACATATAATTTCAAGGTGAAATAGACAGAAAATCCAGAATGCATGGGTAGCATTAAATTATAAGATGCACTGCCTGCCCCATTGGGATCTCTTAAGTTTATACCTCTATCTTAAGGAAGTCCACTGGGGACAGAAATGCATGTCTGTGTGGATCAGTTTCCAGCTCTGAGCAGACAGGTGCTTTTCTCTTCTTGTCAACATTTTTTCTTCTTTACCTGTGCTCTGCATGCTCTTCTAGCCTTCCTTCCCCTGGCCTGCCCCCTGGCATCCTACTTTCTCCATTCCCCAAACCCCATTTCTTCTATTGAAAGTAATCTTTCCACCATCCATGCTCCTAAGCTGCCCTTTCTGTCACAGTGCCTGGAACATAGCAGATGCTCAGGAAGTATTTGTTGAATGAATAACTGAATCCTCAGAGCACGTACTTACTGCCAGCCTCCACCTCTTATCATCCTTTCTGTCCTGTTTTTTTGTAGCCTGTCCCCAGCCTGTCTCCCTAAAAATACCCTCTGAGGTCAGGCACTGCTTAAGACCACACCCCAAGGGTCTCCATCCCCTTTCTGTGTCTCCACAGCACAGAGCACTGGCTCCCTTTTCCTCCCTTGGCTGCTTGGCTGTGCATTTCTCCCTAGGCTCCTTCTATATTATGTCATTATTTAGGAATCAGAAATCCTTTTTTTTCTGTTTTAATCAGAATATTCTTTTTCTTCCCTTTTGCCTCCCAAATGGAGCACATGCTTTTCCAAGGTTCTCATTAGGCTTCATGCCTTTTGCAAATTCTACTATGCCAGTAGCTTCAATGGTTTCAGCTATAAAGTAATTCTCAAATTCACACTGTCAGCCTTGACAGCATTTCTGAACCCCAGGGCCATGGTTCAGGTATCTACTGACAGTCTCCGTGTAGATTGTTAGTAAAGATAAAAATAATTTATTCTACATTTCCAAAACAACCCATTACCTGACTCCTCAAATAAATTTATTTTTAAACAAATTTATTTTCTTGCTGTCACTGTTTCCTCTTATTACCCCTCTATCCTTCCAGATAGTAAGTCTCAAAATGTTGGCATCATCTTTGAGTCCTTCCTTTTCAGCCACCTGTACCTTACAGACCTTTCCCTCCTTCAGGTTCCGAGTACCTGCCTCCTGGTCTTTCACTTCATCGCTCCCCCATTCTGTCCCCACTCACCCACTGAACCACCCACCTCCTACTACCCTGACCCACCCTATGTGCTGATGTGGCATTGCACTTCCTAACTCATTTCTCTGACCCTAGCACCACCTGCACAGAGACAGTGATGGACTCTTCATTGGTCACTTAATCAAGAACATGGAGCTAATATTTTTGAGCCTTTATCACGTGACAGGCCTGTGAGGTCTGACTTACTACCTCTGTTTTATCCGGAGGGAACTCGGGTTCAGAGACGTGGAATAACATACACATGGTCACATAAAGAGCTGGTAGAAGCACTGGGACTTTTCTTTCTGGCAAAGTCTACCACTTTCTGGCTTTATGCATTACAGGGCCTGCCTAAGTTTAACTCATTTTGCCAGGTGTCTGGGAGTCGTGCCATGTGGCCCTCTGGCCGCCTGAATGATCTGCAGCCCATGGCCAGGTGACACCTAAAGCTCTTTTGAGCTCTTCCTGAGACCCTGATTCCTGACAGCTCTTCACTGACATCCTTCTCTGATCCTCCATCAAACTATCTTTTTTCAGGTCACCAAATGTACACCCTACTCTCTGTCTAAATTCCATGTGCATCCACCAAACTCAATACAAAGAACTTTTTTTTTCTTCTGTGTGCTTCCAAAGCAATTTCTCCATCCTGTGAATCCTCACTGGACTTAAAATCTCATGTGATTATAATGTATGTTCCCCTTGTCCTTCAAACAGATCTGTTCCTCTTCAGAAGCATTTCCATAGCATCCTTTCACAACCCCTTCCCCAGTTTGTATTAGTTTTATAATTAAATGTTCAATTTCTGTCTCCAACTAGAATATAAGTTCCCTGAGGGCAGGAGTTGGCCTGTCTTGTTCTAAGAGTTTATACACATTTACCTAAGTGCCTGGCACATAGATATGCAATAAAATGCATTCAGTGGATAACCTAATGCCTTGCTGTTTCTCTCACAGACTTTAGGTGACTCGTAGGACAAATGGCCACATGTGTGTTTTCCCTGTGTCCCCTGTAGCATTTAGCTCATCTGCATTGTGCTCAGACTTAGAAACTCAATAAGTTTTTGTAGAATACACTACACAGAAGCCTTAATAATCTTCCCCCATCTTGGTATAAGACCGAGGGTATCAGGGGTGCCTGGGTGGCTTAGTCGGTTGAGTGTCCAACTTCAGCTCAGGTCATGATCTCACGTTTGTGAGTTCTCACAGTTCTGAAGTTTGAGCCCTGCACTGGGCTCCCTGCTGTCATCACAGAGACCACTTAGGATCCTCTGTCCCCTCTCTCTCTGCCCCTCTCCCGCTCACACACATACACACACACTCTCTCTGTGTCTCTCTCAAAAATGAATAAACATTTATTTAAAGAAACAACAACTGAGGGTATCAGAGCTAACATTGGTTTTACTAGAATCTCTTCCACTCTCCCCTAAAGTTTTAGGGAATTGTGGGGAAGCCTTTGAAGCCCCTCCAGTCTCTGCTCGCAGGCAACATTTAAGAGCTCCTGAAAGTGAGGAGGACTCAGAACAGAGATTGTTGTCAGTGCCATTCTGTCAAGAGCCCTTTTTTTTTTTTTTTTTTTTTTTGTGGCATCTGACCAAATCTGACAGTTCTTTTTCCTTGCCTCCATGCCAAAATCTCTTTACCTTCACCACGCTCTCGCCACTCCCCTGCTTCTAAAATTTCAAGGCTCTCGCCCTCTCCTCTGGCCGTCTTCTCTGCTTTTAGTTCTAAGCATCTTCCTGTGCTCACAGGCAGTTCTGGGGTCTCTTACCCACCAGCCCTGAAGGGCAACACCTTCTTCCCCTAAGAGATCCGCCTACAGCCCGTGGTGCTCTCCAGGAATGTGTCCTGCCGTCCTGAGCAGAGCTGCTGGAATTTCTGGGTCCTTCCTCTCTGCCTCCCCTGGCCCGCTGCCACTTCTTCTCAGGGCATCTGTCTCCTGCTGTCAAAAATATTGGTAGTTACTTAGGTGAAGGTTGAGAGATGGACATAGTAAAAAATGTTATTAGTTGCCCTGAGAGAGTGTAATAAAGTGAATTTCATGAGGTATGACAGCTTTCTAAAGTTAATGAACCATTCGGCATTTCCTCACACAGAGCCAGAGCTGGCCAGGGCCTATCCCCACGAGGGTCCACTTGGGATTGATCTACTTTCAGACCTGCTGCCACTTTCGCTGTTTCTCCACTTGTGAAAACAGTGCAAAGTCAGCTTCCTTCTGAATGATACATTTGACTCCTTTTATAATGAAGATGCTGTCTCCCCTCCCCCACCTCACCCCAGTATCCTATTTAGAATGTTATTGTACTATAGGATGTCTCCATTGCACCGAGAAGGGTAGCAAGTGCCAAAATAAAAACACATCTCTGTTTGAGCAGCCTGCTTTTTCTATGTATCCCGAGGCAACAGTAGGAAGTAGGTCAACAATTCATTGGACAGCAGATGCTCTAGCTGGAAACCTTCACTTAATGTACAAAGACGAGACACAATCCCAGTGTGGATTTCTAACCTCTAAGTATGGCCTGGCCTGTATTCCATCAGGTGCCGTATCACCCATGCTCAACACCACTGGCCAGCTTGGGGTCCTTGGGGCCCAGGGACCTTGACCTCATATGGACCATGACCCATAATGGCCCTGGGTGGTATGCCCTGGAGCTTTTAGACTTAGGGACTGCACCTCTTGGCCCCCCTGGGTGTGCTTCACCTTCCCCAGGTTTCAGGGAGCATGACCTGTGTGGCTGCATCTCAGGAGTACGGGAACCAGAATGTAATACAACTCCTGGGACCCATTGTAAACAAGAGTTATTTAAGTAGCTTCACCAAGTATCACACTACCAGTAGCGTTATCTTCTCACAAGCTGGTGTGAATCTCTGAGCAGCCGTAAGTAAACAAAGGGAGGGCGACCAGAGCACTTGACCTCTCGTGAACTCCTGCTACATGGTAGGCACTAGGGGGAATATGTGGCATATCTAGCCTGCCCTGTTCCCCATAGCAATCCCGTGTCCTAGATGCTCATACCCCCATTTTGCAGAGGAGGAAATTGAGGCTAAGAGAGACTAAATAATTTGTCCAAGGCACACAGCTAGGAAGTAGCAGGGCTAGGAGTTAAACTAAAGCCAGACTGATTCTAAAATGGAAATACCAAACCCTGGAGCAGCTGTGTAATTCTGGGGTTCCAGGAGACTCTCAGACTTGAGAGGTTCTGATATCTGATCTTAGCCCTGTTCCCCTGAGGTAATGTAAATAATGCATGCTTTCTTCCCATCTTGCCTTCTTCACTTATTAAATGGGCACATTCAAACACCGTATTTGTGTTTTAAAACAAACACTGTTGCAGCCGCCGCCCACTGCTACCACCTCCATTGCTCCCCAGGAATGCTGCTGGTTCCTGAACAGATTGGAAGCACTTTGTCTCATCTAATATCTTTTTCCTGAAGACTCAATACTTTAATGATGGCAAACATAATAACCCATGACTAAAGATATTTGTCCAATCTAAATTTTGTTTTGCTTGCAGAGAACGGCAAATCTGTTCATTGGAAACTGGGAGCCGATAAGGAAGTCTGGGTCTGGGTGATGGGCGAACACCATCTAGATAAACCCTACGATGTTCTCTGTAATGAAATTATTGCTGAGAGGGCCCAGCTGAAAGCAGAGCAGGAAGCAGAAGAGCTCAGGTAGGAGATCTACAAACCAGTGAGGGGCTGGCCAGACTCTAAGTCATGCAAAGATGGCTCTTCTTCACAGTATCTGGAGGGAGAGTGTGGTGGGATCAGAGTCACAAGAGTAACTTTAGATCTGTCTGGCAAGTTTCTTTAGACTGTTGGTGGTTCCCTTCATTCCCACAATGCTATCAAGTCAGCTGCTTCATTTCCTTACTTGTCACCCCAGTTTTGGTCTGGATGTGGGTTCCCCAGTGGTCACTGGCTTCACCAGAACTGTGCTAGAGCACCACAGGCTGACAGAGCTGAGCATCAGGAATAGAAGAAATGCAGCGACTGTCCAAGCTTCAGGCCCTCAGACAAGATTGCTTAGTCTAGGCAGCTGAGTAAGCAGCCCTTCAGGTGCTGATACTGTGCCAGGTGGTGGGGATTCAAAGATGAACAAGGAACTTCCAGTCTAGGAAGAGAAACAGGCAGGTGCACCACTCACTTCAGCTGATACAGGCTGTGGTATGTGCTATAACTAAGTTACAAAGAAAGCATTAACTGGACCTATCACTCCTATCCTCAAAAGAGGTGAAATCTGAATTGAACCTTGAAAGATAAGTAGAGTTTTTCAGTGCAGAATATCAGGAAGGAGACTACAGGCAGAGGGCATTGTTAAGACCCCTGCTCTTGAATACATAAGGTTCTTTGGGTGACAGTGAGTTCTTCTGAGTGTTTGCAGTATATGTGGGCAAATAGCAGGAGACAGGGGGCCATGGGCTATAAAGTGCCTTGAAAGCCAGATTTAGGACTTTGGACCTTATTCTGTGGATGGTGGCAGTTTTTGAATCAGGAAGAGACGTGATCAGCTGGAGTTCTAGGAAGGTAACTTGAGTGGTAGCAGTGAGGCAGATGATGGATCCCCTCTTCTGGGTGCCCAGGGTGACTTCTATGGAGCCTGTTATCCTTTGGTGAGGTAGAAGCAGACATATGGGCCTCACTTCAGTCCCTAAGGGCTGGTGATGCTACCCACAGCTCCTATAACTAACATTGGAAATGAACATACAGAGATAAAGTAATTATTCACTGCTCATCAGAGGACTGCAGTTTGCTCTAGTAGTTTAGCTTCTCAACAGGAATTGGGCAGACCTGGGTTCAAATCCTGCCTGTGCCACTATGTAGTCTTGGATAAATAATATAATTATTTTGAGCCTCTTGCAATTAAGCAAGGATAACAACCCATTTCTTGAGGATTGTTATGAGGATTAAGTTAATGTTTTTAAAATACTAGCAAAGGGCTTGGTAAATGGTGTCTATTACTGTTTTTCACATAATTTGAATGTAGGCGTCTGCTTTGGAAAAGCTATCCATGTTAGAGAATGTTTTGATAATTCCACATTTGTTTCTCTTCAGAAAAACTGAGCCCAAAGAATTTGCCAATAACTTGAAAACAAAATCACAGTACTATGATCTGCAAGCACCAGATACCCGGGAGACTCAGAATGTCTCTAAGAAAGCAGCGGAAGAGGAGGATCTGGGGAAAGGCTCTAGACTGGTACCACCCCTTGAAGAAGAGAAAATTCCAGTGAGTCTTTCATATCTGTAAACATGCAGAATTTCATAACCAGGGGAGTGAAAGATATTGGAACCACTGAGATGAATGTAGTTGAACATCAGGATCTCAGACGTTTCTGGGAAAAATCCCTCCCAAGTGGAAGGCCCTGATGTTCATTTCATTTTGGGGAATTTGGCTCACCAGCTACTTCACAAAAAAGGTAAGGCATCCCTTTTTCATGGGACTGAAGGTGTGAAGAAGGAACTCTGGGAATAAAATTTTCATTTTAAGGTATTTTCATGGTTTATTTTTCCCTGTTTACATGTCTTCTATAAGAGGGATTAGCAGTTTTTTTGTGTGAAGGCCCAGATGGTAAATACTTGAGGCTTGTAGACCATACGGTCTTTGTCACAACTGTACACAAACAAATAGGTATGGCTCTGTTCCAGTAAAACCTTCCTTAGCTAACAGGGTCAGGTCTGGCGCACAGGCTGTGGCTGACTGATCCCAGCCCTAGAACACTGGCACATTTGTGAGGTAGATTTTTCTCTACTGAGTCTTCCCCTTTGGGTTGAGGACTGCACTTCAGTGCCTCACTGGCCTCCTAGGTTCTGCCTATGACTGTGGGGACTGCTATTTCCTCAGTACAACAGGACTTTATAATCAGAATTGCTCTGAATTCTCTCATGTCTCTGTTCGTTTAAAAAGCTCAGACATCATTGGCTACTTAGATTATAGTTTGGAAGAACAATAAAACGATATTATAAAGTACCTTCCTTTGCCAGGAATTTAATTAAACTGAGAATTAACAAGGGATCTACAGTTGTTTGACTTCTGCTCAGGTCCCCAACTCTAGGACACTAGCTGTGTGTGCTCTTGACCTCTCTGAGCTGTCACTCATGACGGATCCCCTCTGCTGGGTGCCACACAGTGGTAAAGCACACCGCTGAGCATCTCATTTAATCCTCAAAATGACAGTATGACATAGAGACTGTTTCTGTATTTGTCCATTTTACAGGTGAGGAACCTGAGGTTAGATATGGCTATTCCATTTGCCCGAGGTCTCATAGTTGAGATATATATATAGATATATATAGATATTTTGACTCAAAAATAAATAAATAAATAAATAAAATAAAATATCTGCCCTCCCTTCAAAAAAAAATAGAAGTTAAAATAAATACCATGACTATTATTTTTTTACCAGGTCATTAATATTCTAGGGATTATATTTTATATACACATGTAATACACACACACACACACAAACACAGTGATAGGAGATCTCAAGATTGACTGATTTACTCATTCATTTAAAAAGTACCCATATGTGCTAGGTATTGAGATTACAATGTAGGAGTAAGAACAGAATCACTGCTGAACTTTAGAATGAAGTTGAATGAATGAACTGCTGAGTAAACTTTATAGTTGAGGAAGCATGTAACACATCATTTCATGTAACACATCATTTCATGTAACACATCATTTCAAAAGGTAATAAGTGATCATCCCAAGAAAAGGATATGTTTCTGTGCACCCCCATTATACTAGAACTTGAGCAATAGCAGGAAGTGCAGGGTGGCTTTGCAGAGGACATGGAGCTGGATGTGATCACTGAGGATGGCTGGGGCTGGCAGTTCCAGCAAAGGGACAGTATGAGGCTGCATAGCTGGGGGAACAGGGGGCTTTGGAGAAACCAAAGAAAGCTGTGCGTCTGGAGTGCAGAAGGGACACAGGGGAGCGTACAACTGAGCGACAGGGTGAGCAAGGCCAGGCGAGACAGAGTCTCTGGGACAACTTTGTGTTTTGACCCTTTTTTCAAGAACAATTGGATAGTTACATTTTGAAGGCTCATTCATGGATCACAGTACGTGGGAGACCAGCTTTCTGACACAACCCAGATCAGATGCCTGGGATAATGGGGGTGTTACAAGCATAAACATGAACATGTGGAGGAGAAGCTGGTTTTAATGGAGAAGAAGAGTCTAGTTTAGAGATATCAAGGATTTCACATCCCACTTGAGGCAGTAGCGGTGAATATAAGTTGATTTTATACATAATAAAAAAGTATATATAATTTGACTTGGAGCTTACATAGCTTTCTCTCATATAGTCTTTTCATTTCACAATACTCCTGTGAAGTAGACAATCCAAGTATTTCTTTGGTACAGATGAAAAGACTAATGCTCAGAGAGATTAAGTGGTTTGCCCCTAAATCACAGAAAGCCTTGTTTTTGTTTATCTACTTTAATCCTCATCACAACCTTGATGTATTTAAAACAGAATTCATCATCTTCCCCAGATCTGCTCCTTCAGACAAGAACTCTGGTGAGAAACCAAGGCGAGAGCTTTGGGAGTCATCCAACATGTTTCCAAAATGCAATTCAGGCTTGCACAGTAAAGATTTCCAAATTTCACCCATAATTTATTTTAACCCTAATATATAGAAAGATATTGTCATATTTGTAAACTTTCATCATCTACATACAGCCTAAAATTTATTATAAAAAGAAAAATTATCAAGCAATTTTTATTGAAGTTAGTGATCATGAAGCTTATGAATAACCATGGACAGGTTTAAAGAGCAATCAGTCTTTGGGGCGCCTGGGTGGCTTAGTTGGTTAAGCATCCGACTTTTGCTTAGGTCATGATCTCGCCGTTCGTGGGTTCGAGCCCCGCATCGGGCTCTGTGCTGACTGCCAGCTCAGAGCCTGGAGCCTATTTCGGAGTCTGTGTCTCCCTCTCTCTGACCCTCCGCTGCTCATGCTGTCTCTCTCTCTCTCCTAGAAATAAATAAAAATATTTAAAAAAAAAAAAAGAGCAATCAGTCTTCTAGAATTATAAACCATATTCAAGGAAAACAAACTATAGATTTAGTAAAGTAAAATGGCCTTGTTAGGTTTGTAATGCGTTTCCATGGGACAGATCATCATCTGTGAACTCCAGACCTAATCTGAAGCACCCCTTACTGGTCTTATTTAAACTCTCTGGAGGGCTATGGAGAATGGGAGAAAGTTAAATTCAACCTACATATTGATATGCATGGAGCACTGTAGAAGCTCTTGTATAGAGTCATATGGGAAGTAGTTCTTTTGGTTAATAGTGACCCCTTACATTTGTACTGAGGCATTATATTAGACTGTATTTCTGCATTTGTATAAGCCAAAGTTTTTCAACTCTGCTCTGATTATCTTATGAAAGAGTCAAGGCGAACATGTAGTCAGGGACCCAAGTCCTGTGTAGGACTTGGGGTAAATGCCACAGGTATTCCTTCATTATCCTCCCTGTTTAGCAGTAATATTTTGAATAAGATGAAATCAGCTTAAACAAATGCCACTGCCAGTTTCAATGGAAGAAAATATAACATCCTAACATCATAGCCAGGAGCCTAGGATATTCTTTAGCAAAACAGGCAGATTTGCCTTAGTAGTAGTAATTGGGGTGATAGTGGTTGAAGTGAGGAGTCTGACATTTAAAATGTGTATAGCCTTGTATAGCTGTCAAAAGACTTAGATTCACTGTTTCACTGTATTCTCACAATAAACATAAATGTGAAACACGTTCTCGTTCTTGGAGTGGGCAAACCGTGGGCAGTGGCCTCCCAAAGCATGATTAGAGATACAGCTGGGGCCATAAACCAGGTGCTGTAACTCAGAGCTAGAGCTCCAGCCATCCCATCCTGCCCCAGGGAAGGTATTCACATCTGTAGCATCGTAATGGTCATGCTGTTGGGATTAGAGTTTTTGGTGTTTTTCCCCTAAAGCAGGAATGCTTTAGAAGACCCACATGTTGTTAGCTTTAAAATTAAACAGAAAATCTTTTTCTATGAGAAAACATGGAGAAAGAGAAAGAGGAAGGACTGAAGAAGTAGTAGAGAAACAAACACGATTAAACCAAACTGCCCGGAAACCCTGCAATGGTCTAACTGATGACAGTGGTGTTTTCCAGAGCTCACAGCTCTGCCATGCTTGCTTCTCTCTCAGCTGTTTCTGAGATTTTCAATGTGGCGTCTCTACCCTACACTGTGACAGCATCAAGTCTGTGGGGCAGGGTTTATCACTAGGCAAATTTGCTGGCTAGGCAAATCTCCCAACCTTTTGGAGCCTCTGTTTTCTCAACTGCAAAAACTGGGGATTAAAAATAACCTGCCTTGTTTATCTCGTGTGTGTGTGTATGTGTGTGTGTATGTGTATGTGAAAATTATATGAAATAATTGGGAATTCTTGAAAAATTTCCAATCCCAGAACAAATCCAAGGGGTTGTTTGAACCAGAAATACTCTAAGCCCTGCCTCCGCAGTGCGAGTGTCCTATGTTCAAGCTGTGTGGGTGAAGACCTTGCATGGTTTGGCTAGATGGATTGAATCAGTGTTTCTCTTAGCAAATACTTACCAAGGGTCCAATACATGCAATGATGGACATTATGGAGACACAAAGGAGGCACAGGACAAGGTCTTCATCCTTCAGGAGTTGGAGGAAAGATTAAAAGCACCTAATACTGAATAAGGCACGACATAATCAAGTTCCAGCTGGGTGAGAGGCAAGGACTTGACTGGTTTGTAGAGAGCAGGGATAGGGGTAGGCCTGAGGTTGGGGGGAAATGCAGAATGTCTGTGGTGAGAAAATGGGAAGCATCATGTGCGGGGACACAGGGAGGAGGGCAGCCTGTGTGGGATAAAGTACTTGGCTGGGACTTGGAAGGTGCATTTGAGGTGCTGATAGTCCATATTATGGAAGAGGAATCAGGCTGGCCTTGTGTTCATTTTCTAATGCTGCCATAGTAAATTACTGTAAACCAAATGTCTTAAAGTAAGACCTGTTTGTTATATGACAGCTCTTTTAGTCAGAATTCTGACATGATTTGGTTAGGTTCTTTGTTGAGGGTCTCAAAAGGCAGAAATCAAGGTTTGCGCTGATGTGGGTTCTTCTCTGGAAGCTTTAGAAAGAACTCCTTTCATGCTTATTTAGACTGCTGGCCATAGGAGTTAGCTTGTGGAGATGGAATGTTTGGTGAGATGATTCCTCATAAGTT